TTTTTTTTCTGTTTAGGGTCTCGTCGCAAGTTTCAGATTTGAGGTGGCCCCCCTAAATCTCATTCAATTTTGAAAAAATTAAACAGAGTGTCTTGTGAGTACCAATAGAAAGTTTTGTAGTATCTGCATAGTTATACATTATTTAAATATTATATATACATTATATCTGCATATAGTTATACATTATTTGTACATACATCCTCAAATACTTTATGAAGATAAAATATCCTTGCTATTAAATGTAAAGTATCTAAATCTAATCTTTATTGGTATTTACCTTCACCATTTACATCATGTCAAAAAATTGAGAAATCCCTTACAAAGTATGCAATAACTGCACCTTATTATATCAACTTTAAATAACCATGAAGATATAAAGGAATATATCATTGCTGGAGATTTTCAGCCATATTCCGAAAAGATCTACAAATCTAAGTACTGTAATAACAAATCTCACAATAAATTCTCTAAGCCTCTCTCTACTTTCATTAAATCAAATTCTCGATATAATCAGTGGCATTGGTCCAAGGTAAAAAACAACAAGGTAAAAAAAAAAATTTAACTTTTAGGTCAGATTTCTGACAAATCATTAAAATGGATTGTTTTGGAAATTTTCACAAAATGTTGAGAATTTTATACCAATTAAAAAAAATATATATAAAATCATCAGGTGACCGGCTAAGGAAAATTTGATATTATATATTTAACTTGTTACATTACGCTACCAGGCAATTATTATCATGGGTTTTTGGACCTATTATTAAGTATTAGATTTTTTAGAATTATATAAAAAAAGAATCACAAAAGTATTAAACTCATTATTAAAAATAGTTAACAAAGGCAAATTTATAAAACTGGTGGTACTCTTCCAGAGTAATTTTTCATAAAATTTATGAAAGTTATAAAATCAATAACAGTTTTTTCCACAAGACCAAGAGCAACTTTAAAAAATTGCTTTAACACTTATTAAGTCATTTAAATAAGAAAATGTTTTAGTTTACTGAAAATTTTACTTGCATTTCTAACTTTTATTTGTATTAGGTTGAAGAATTTTTTAAATGATGTATTTACATTTAATTACTTAAATGAAGTATTCACATTTAAATCTTTTAAAATACTATTGACAGAAAAACTGCTATTACATTAGAAGGGAGAGGGGTTGCAGGTGTATGTGATCATTAGAGACAATCGAAAGGGGTTAAAAATTGACAATTATAGGGTGACGTACTTTTAGGATGACCCCCTTTATTGCATTTAGAAACGATTTGTTTTACTAAAATAAAATCAAGAATTATGTAATAATGTAAGTTTTCATTTTGTAAGCAACAAAAACTATACAAAAAAGAACTTTAGTAAATGCACGTACTTTTAAAACTAAAATGTGCTTTAACTAAGCACCGTTATTCAAAACTTAAGTTAATATTCTTTCTCATATATTGTTAAAAAATTTATATTTTTTAACTAAATTTTAGAAAAAATAAAACTAATTGTGTTTTTGTTAACGTTACATAAAAATTGCAAAAGTTTTTTTGTCATTTATTTGAAATATATTTATTTTTAAAGGTATAATATCTGATCAAAAACAAATTGAAAATGTTATCTTCATTTTCACACTAAATTAATTCAGATTATGCAAATATATTCATGGTTAAAATAACATTTTACAATGATACTTCTTTTTATAATGCATTTATAATGAGAAAAACTAAAACTTTCGGAAACATATATAAATAAATTAATTTTAGTACTAAAAGTTTATTTTAAATAAAATTACATGTTTCTACATCAATATTTATTTGCAAAAAATGATGAAAAAGAAAATAAAATTTGACTGGTTTTTCATTTTCTGCCGTAAAATTGCCTATATACATAAATGTAAACATATACACACTCGCATGTATGCACACACACATATATAGACGCAAGTATTAAAACAAATACTTTAAATTTATTCTGTATAACTTTATATACTTAGATTGCCCAATATATATAATTAGCCATATAATATATTATTTTATAATAATTACTATATAATATATTATAGATTAAGTAAAAAATATATTACTATTAACTCAAATTTTGTATTAGCATATAAAGATATAAAGCATAAAATTTTAAAATATAAATTACTTGTGCCATTTCTAACAGGAAGTTAATAACAAAAGTTTTGAATCCTCTTAAATCTTCATCAACATGATGGCTTGTGAAAATGCTTTGCTCACAGTCCATAAGCTGTGTATTAAAAAAGTGAACAAAATTTCTTACTTCACTCCAACAAGGATCTTTCACTCCACAATATCTAAATATTTGTGTTTGTGTGTGTATGTGTGTGTATATATATATATATATATATATATATATATATATATATATATATATATATATATATATATATATATATATATATATATATATATATATATATATATGAACATTTCTTTAAGAAAAACATAATATTTTATAGTCTTGACATGTTTTGTAGTTTACATGCTACATTTTCAAAAGATAAAATTACAATTTAAAACTCTGAATATATATATATATAAAATCAAAATTTAAAGACATTACAGAGAAATATTAACAGACACATAATTTTATCACAAACCAATAAAAATTATAATACGAATTATGATACTGTAAATAGCATAAAAATAATAAGCAAATAAAACAAACTAGAAAAATTTATATTATAATGAACATTTTGATTTATTTAAAGATGGGTTTTTCTTTTTAATATAGAGTGCTTCTTTAATTTTCAATTTGTTTTTGTTAGGTATCCAAAATTTTAAAACAATTGTAGTTACTTGGATTTTTACAATTAACAGATAAAATTAAATGCTTTTAAATAATAGATTGTCACATGTAAGATACTCATGAATCCTAGTTGTTAAGTGTCTGGAGGTTTCTTCAATATAACTGGCATTACATCCAGCTCAAGAAAACTTGTAAACAAGATTGGATTTGAGCAGCCTAGGAAGTTATTCTTTTATACATAAACTGTTTTGTAATTTGTTGGTAGTGAAAATTAAATTATGACATCATTACAACATTTTTTAATGATTTTATTAACTTTAGTAAAATTTTTATAAGATTTAGTAAAATTTGAGTAAATTTCTACAAATGGAAGTTTATAATATCTTATATTAGGGTTATTAATACTACTTATAACAGATGGCTTTAAAGTTTTATCAACAATTTAATTTCAGTGTAAAATATTTTTGGTGAATATTAGTTATTTTTTAAAATAATAGATATATTTTTATGTCCTTATCAAATCCAAGTCATGTGTTGTTGATTTTATATGTTCTATCAATCAAACAACGTATAAGACTAATTTTATAGCAATAGAAAGCAAAACTGGAAAGTTTTTTTAAAAGACTCGTATATGTTTTTTTGTGATAAACTGATGTTGAAAGCAAAACAGACTTATTGATATGAACATCTAAAAATGCAATTTGATAATCTTGTTCTTTTTCCATAGTAATTTTTAAGTTTTTATGTTGTTTAGTTTAAAAAATTCTTGAGCATTAAACTCAGAATTAAAAATAACAATAATATCATCAACCTAACGTTTATAGAAAATGGGTATGAAGGAAGTGCAATTACTAACCCATTTTTGTTTGTGAAACCCAATAAAAATGTTAGCTAAAATTGGCGCTAAAGGAGAAGCCATGGCCACGCCATCTAATTAATCATAACAATTCCCGTTAAGTAAGAAATGAGAACTAAATGTTTAGATTTAAAGTAATTTTTTAAACTCAGCTTTAGAAAATAATTTTAAACACTTTTCATCTTTAAAGTATAAATCAGTAGCTATATTTGAAGTTTCATTAAGTGGAATATTATTAAATAAGCATAGGAACAAATTATATATTTGTTAGTTATATCAGCTTATTTTAATTCCTCAACAAAAGAAAAAGAGTCACAGGTGGAATAAAATTTAGGTATATAAGGAGACAATAAATCAGAAAGATGATTAACAAGTATATAATTGTATGGTCCGATTGTTGAAATAATTGGTCTAAAAGGTGGTAGACAAGAATCTTTACTGAGTTTGTGCATCTTAGGTTAAGCATAAATTTTTGCTGTTTGTGAACCAACAGGATAAATTTTATTGTAAACATCATTTTCAAAACAATTATATTTTTTAATTTTTCTAAGATATCCTTGTAAAAATTGTTCTCTTTTTATAGTTGGATCGTCTTTTAACTCTTTAAATTTAGTTTTATCACATATAATATTAGTTAAAGATGTAATATTGTCAACCTTATTAAAAATAACTATATCATTCACTTTATCTGGTTTTGTGATTACTATTATTTCATTTTTCTTTGTCTCTTTAATATTCTATGTTTCCTTAGACAACCTATAGATTGTGTGTATTTATATAATTGTTCGCTAAATGAGAAAGTTTGCTTTTAAGTTGAGGTTTCAGATCACTGCTTTTAAGATGAGATTTGAAAAATTGTGCAATGCAATCAAACTTAAAAAAACATCCAGGCTTTTACAGGAAGGTGTGCGATCGCACGTCTTTATATGACTACACAAAAAATAATGTTTTAACAAATTGACCACAGCTTTTGATATATTTTCATAATTTAAAAATGTGCTACAAAAATTCACCTAAACTTATCTAAAAAAAAAAATTGTAAAAAAGAAAAAAAAATTTTACAAAAAAGAAAATAAAAAAAAAAATACTTAGTGAAAGCAAAAACATAAAAAAAAACAAATATATATATATATATATATATATATATATATATATATATATATATATATATATATATATATATATATATATATATTTTAACTACTCGTTTAAAAATATTCCAATACAAGATGAAACTAGCTACAAAATAAATCTTGTTGAAAAAATAGAAAGCTTTATAAAAAGAATACGCTGGAAAACATATTTTCACATGAACAAAACTGAAACAAGTACACAAGAAAATTTTGATTTAAAAACAAAAAAAACACCCCTACAATGCAAAGAATTAGAAAACTTTAAGACAGAACTATTTAACTTGGTAAAATCAATAAAGTTTAAGAAATCCCAAAGCCAATTTAAAAAAAAATTTAAAGGACGACATTTCAAAAATTAAATCTAACCCAAACATCCTAATATTTGCAGACAAAACCAACAACATTTACTAATTACCCCCTGAAGATTACTCCAAATTATTGAAAGAAAACATCACTAAAACATACAAAAAAGCACCTAAAAAACTAGAAAATTCAATCAACCTTGAGGCAAAAAGCATTGCAACTAAACTAAATATAAACAAAAAAATCAATACAATTGCCAAATCAGAAGCATTCATTACATTAAAAGACCACAAAAACAACTTTGAAAATCAAAAACCTTGCCGCTTATTAAATCCAGCAAAAAGTGAAGTCGGTGTTGTCAGCAAAACATACCTTGATAAAATTTTCTTTTTAATAGAAGTAATATTATATATATATATATATATATATATATATATATATATATATATATATATATATATATATATATATATATATATATATATATATATATATATGTATATATATATATATATATATACATAAATTATATATACATATAATATATATAAATATTATATATATATATATATATATATATATATATATATATATATATATATATATATATATATATATATATATATATATATATATATATATATATATATATATATATATGTATATATACACATGTATGTACACACACATATATCTATACTATATATATATATATACATATATGTATTTGTGAATGTGTGTGTACGTATATACATGTATACATATATATACATGCATATATATACATATACATGCATATATATATATATATATATATATATATATATATATATATATATATATATATATATATATATATATATATATATATATATATATATATATATATATATATATATATGTCTACTAAAACCAAGCAACAACATCAGTAGATAGGTTCACTATTTTCAACTGTAAATAAACACACCCTTTCATGAGAATTAAATGTCATAGTTATTGGAATCTTAGAAACCAACAAAGTTGAGGTTAGTAAACAAGTAATGGAGCTGTTTTTGGATTTTTAAGATTAAAAAATCTTGAATTTAGGCATATTTGCATTGACTAAAATCAAATCATTTTAACTTTAAAACTTACTAAAGTAACTCTCTTAAATTAATAGAGAAAGAGTTAGTTCTAAAAACCTGCAGACATCATACCATTAAGTAATATGAGAAAGTTTTTGTTCACAAAGATAGAACTCCTGCTGAACAGGCTTATTTTAAAACAAAGCAATCACAAATAGTCAAACAAAATGAAGAATTTAAAGCTGTAGGGCTGCTAAATTAGCTATTTAAAAACATCATCTTTGACCACACCGGTAAAATTGACTGCACCAATTTTATTGAATAAACCAGAAGTAAACAGTATGTTTTTAAATCAGCTATAACTGCACTAAATAGCCATGAAAATCATGTCAGTAATAGCTATAATGAAAGAAACAGAACATCAGCTACCAGCACAATTTAATTTACCACTCCTACCAACACTGAAACCTAAGATACACCAGAAAAGTAATAATAACAAATCCACCCATCAAGATTGAAATCAAAGTCAAAATCTAACTTCTCGCAGTTATTTTCGCAATCATTAATTTCGTCTTCATCAATATCAGGATAACTATGTTTCTGGGCAAACAACCCAGGTTCATTAAACATTTAAAAAAAAGGAGAACATATAGCTAGAATAGCATCCAAAACAATGCAAAAACTTCATATGCTTTTTGCAGAAGCATGGTGTAATAATACATTTGACACAGCTGTTTAAGGATATGAACTGCATCAAGCAAACAGAGATAGCAGAGGAGGAGGTGTAGCTATATACACTAGAAGTGATATAATTACAAAAGAAGTTAGAAATAAGCAACTTGACTCTAAATCTTTTGAGCAAGTATGGTGTATAATCAGATTTGACAGTGAATCATAATTACTAGGTGGTATATATAGACCACGCAACATTAATGACATTGTCCTAACTCAAACAATTGAATCAATTACAACAGTTAAACAGGCCATGTTAACTAATAACTGTTCCTCTTTGTTATTATAACTAATAACTTTTCCTCTATGTTATTAGCACCTGAAAACGTTATACTATATTTAATTCATATACATATACAATATATTCATACTATATGTCTATACTGGATATAATTTATTCATATGCAGGGGGAAAAAAAATAACGGTAGGAGTTAAAGAAATTTTTATTATTGTTAAAATTATTATGTGTCAATACCAATCAGATATTAAAAGTTGTATAAATTACATTAACATAAAAGCTTCAATTACTAACTATGCACAAAAAGTAAAATAAATATGCAAAATGAAAAACTTTTTTTTAAAAAAACTTACTTTAATAATATCTTTAAACAAGTTTTAAGATTTATAGTGGGATGAGTTGGATTGTAAGTAAATGTATTTAACAACGATTTATTTGTGTCATACAATTTTAAATACTGACAAACACGTTGTATGGTGGATTTTTTATGTTCTTCATTAAAATACCAAACCATTGTATATATCTCTAGATATTATTATAAAATTTAAAAGTTATTGAGTTTAGTATTTATAACTGTCACATTAAAAAAATATTTAAAGTACATTTTTAACATAAAAATAAGTATAATAATTTACTTGAACTATTTGATGAAAATATTTTTCTGATTTTAATAAAAATTTATTAATTTATAGTTAAAACACCTTGACCATGAAGCACACTTAAAACTTCATTGGGAGAATTGCATGTAATACATGGTAGCATGTTAGCAACTACACTGAAACATTGATTTTTACTGGAACCCTAAAATAGAATAAAAAGAAAAAATTAAAGCAAGTTTTCTTTGTTAATTTTTAAGTTAATTGTTAAGTTTTCTTTTTTAATTCTTAATAAAATTATGCTTAATACTTAGGTTTCATTTAGAAAAATATGAACTTTCAAACTCCAACTAACAATAAAAATTTTGACATTACTTCAAAATTTCAATAAGTTTTAAAAATTTGTTTTATAACAGCCAATATATGCAATAATCTACGCCCTAACTATTGTAAATAATGTAAATACTTACATTGTCAGATTGTTCATCAGAATGGTTTATGGTTATTTCAATGATGCATGTATCATTGTTATTCATTCTCCACACTTTTCCTGTACTTGTTTTTAATGATCCCAGAACAACTAAGTTAAATAGAAATGAATCCAGTCCGCCTCTAACCTAAAGAATATTTGTCATCATAATTATCATCATTATCATAATTATAAAAAATTTATTTTTTAAGAATTAATTTAATGAATGAAATAGTATGGCAAATAATTTTTTTTTACCAGTTTTTGCTAACCATAACATCACTAATTTAAAACCTATTTTATTATTATAAATTTTGAATCGAATATTTTCTGGCATAAATACTGGGGAGATAGTGAAATAATTTAAGAAGAAAACTTCAGAGTACATTCAAATTATCTTTAATTCATTTCAGATATTATAAGGTGGCTATTCTTACACCACATATGCAAACTAAAAACTAAACATGTTTTGTTTACAATCAAGGGTTCCAGTTAGATAACACAAGGCTCAAATTAAGAAAAAGCAAGTGCTTTTTGCACCTTTTTTTATCAAAAATTTTTTTCTTTATGATTTTCTTTTATAATTTAGCATTTTTTAAATCATATTTTAAAATATAGAATGTTTTTTGTTTGAAAATATTAGTACTGGTCATCCATAAAAATTGCTACACTTTAACTTTAAAATAGATTTAAATGAAGCTCTTTTTTACTTGGAAATCTTCATTCAACAGTGCTTTTAAATTTTAATTACTTTAAAACTCTGTGTAGAACCTAATAATTTCTGACTTTTATTTTAAACTTAAGTTTAGTATGAAGTACCTTATGATTAAGTACATCATGAACTATTTAATTTACATAAAACCAAAACAACCATGAAGTTTTGTTACTAAATTAACAAATAAATATACTTAATCAAAGATTTATTTGCAAAAGTTATCCATAGCAATATTTTTATTTTATATGTTATCACAAAAAAAGCTTACAGCTAAAATACTTCTAAAAAAAACCCATAATACCACTTTTTAAATATACTTTATTTATAGCGGTATAAAGTTTGTCAATTTTAGCCCTGACCCTCAAATTGAGGCCAAAAAATCAATATGTTCAGTAAACTAAAGACATTTATGGTTCATTTGGCATAAAAAATAAAATCTGGTTACACTACCCATAGAGAATATTGTGTTTGAAATTAGATGGTCTCTGCAATATTTTCAACGTTTAAAAAATGTTGGTTGAATAATGATTAATAAATACCCAACTAGTTCCATTTAATAATATAAATGTGATTTTTAATAGATTTCACATGCTCCTAATAAAATAGAATCATTTTTTGGTTCTTTTGTTCCAAGTTTTTATGGCCCAGACATACTAACTAAAAATCTAAACATTTTTAGCTCTCTATTTCATCCTTTCTCCATTAAAATGTTACAAAGAGCAACTTTAACAAAACTTAAAACTTTTGAAATAGTATAAGACCAAAGAGTATTTAAAAAAAAGTCAATGAGCTTTCAGTAGAAACAGGAATAGAGTAATTATTTTTCTATTTGGCTGATTTACAGGGCTTCAAAGCAATAGAGGTAGAGAAACCATTAGTACTTGTAATTGGATTGCTTAATAAAGTCATAAGGATACAAAAACAAAAAATAAAAACTTGAATTGCCTTCTGCTACATTCTGTCTTTTTTTGTAACAGGTTAGCTTATAGATAGTAAAAATTTAAATCATAGTAATAAAAGCACAAAATGTTTTATCATAAATCATTCTGAGAAAGAGTTCTTCTTTTTTTTATAACAAAACACGTTTCAAATTGTTTTTAAAGTAAAATTTTACAAAAAAGATATTGATGATGCAATGCACGATCTTGGTTAAGAAGTTATTTTTTTGAGACATCATAATTTGGTAATGTTGTGATAAAAAACTCTGAATTGGTTTTGAAACTGGCAAACCCATCCCTGAAGTACAATTTCACCAACCTTGCTCCAAATGACAAGTTGAGAGTTGATGCAAGCCTTCTGATTTTGAGCAAGAAGGTCCAGAAGTGAAGGAAATTGGTCTTCCACTTTGATCAATCTTTTAGTTACGATAGACAAAGTTTAGTTACGATAGGCAAAAATTTTTTGCTCAATGACAGATTCAGCCATTTTTTCTCCTACTTTAGTAGCAGTCTCCATCATCTTTTTCAAATTTTAAACCTTTTGTGCACTGACAAGGAAACCACTTTTTGAGTGTTGTCAGGCAAAAAGAGCACATATTTTCATGTGTGTGGTAGGAGCACCTTTGTGGACTGCTGCTTGGTGCACATGATGCAACAAAGGAAACCTGATTGCGCTTTGATCTGCTAAATTGACAAACAAAGCTTGAACAGTCAGTGGGCTTTCTTGTGATCTTGATGCTTTAAAAGTTGTACAGTTTGGGGAACTTACAGCTGATTTGACCACTGTCTAGCTTTTGCAAGCTTGTTCTGCAAGAGTTAAAAGGTCCTGATGGAATCCTAAGATCATTAAAATCAATATCAGGTTTGAGCAGGGCCTTGATTCTCTCCTTCATGAAATTTGTAACTTGTTTCTCACATTTTTTCATACACAGAAAACAGACAGTTCTTCGTAAAACTGTTCTCATGAAGAACTATCTGCTGCAGTTTTCATGAGTTTTTGGAATGTTGGGCATTTTCTTTGTAATAAAACAAAAAGCCTATTCAATACATTGCATTTGCCCTGACTAACAAGTGTTTGTAACTTTCTACAAGTACCTAAACATCTAAACAAATCTGGTTGCTTGATTTAGATCTAATCACAAGAACTAATAACAAGAACTCATCAGTACTTACTCTATTTTAAAATGATTATGTAAAAACTTCCAAACTTCTTCCAAAAATCTTATGTTTTTATTGATACACCTTTTAGACAATTAGAATTAAAGTAAAATTTTAGTGCATTGGAGTTTTAGAATTTTTAAAATTGATTGATAAGTCAAAAAAAGGAATTTTAAGTAATGGCACATTTTTAAAGGCTTACCACTTTTCTGAACTTAATCATCAAGAACATTAAGTAAATCTGAAATTTTGCTTTTTTTGTTGTGGAAATCTTATGTCCCCAAAGCAAGGAACTATTTAAATTTTGAGAACTTGTTGATTTTGAAGAACTTTAAAATCATTTTAGGAATATACTAAGTATATCAAAAATACCTATTTTAAAAAGTCTCAATACAGTTAAAATTTGTTGTCTCAATAACTTTATTAAAAAGTCTCAATACAGTCAAAATTTGTCTCAATAACTTTGACAGGATCTTGTACAGAAGTAATGCAAAAAAGTAAAACATCAAGTAACTAACATTTAGTATGGAAAGGTAGCAAGCAATTTTAGACAAACTTTTATATTTTCAAAATCAGGAAAATTTATCACTTAAAACATCTCAGAAACATTAGAAGGAACATCACCTTCAAAATTTAACAAAAAGGCTTGTTAGTATAAAGTTATACCTAGTGGTACTATCTAGTAACCAGTTAAATATGAAAGTTATATCTAGTGGTACTCTCTAGTTACCAATTGAACATGTAAGTTATATCTAGTGGTACAATCTAGTTACCAATTAAATATGTAAGTTATATCTAGTAGTACATTCTAGTAGTATTACCAATAAAGTTATATAAGAATATAAGATTTATTGGAAGATAAAGGCTTGTTAACAATTTATCAAAGAATATGTAAAATATTTGCATGAACTTTTATTATGAAAACCAGCCTAATTTTTCAAATTACCTTTTGAAATTTTATTTCTGTTGCAATATTAATAATATTTTGATCTCTTTTTTATTTTTACAATATACAAACTTGTCAAAAATAAACAGTTGAAAAATAATTTTATTACACTAGCTAAAGATTAAAAAATTAGAAAAGTTGTGATGTTTATTATAACAATTTGACTGACAGTGCTAAAAGTGGTGTTTTGCTTGCTGTCTGGGCCTTAAATAGGAATAAAAAACTTTGAACAAAAGACTCCAAAACATGGTTCTATTTTAACAAGAACATGTGAAATCTATAAAAATCACATTTGCATCATTAATTGGAACAAAGATACTTATCCATCATTATTCAACCAACATTTTTTTAATGTTGAAAATGTTGCAGTGACTGTCTAACTTCAAACTCAATTTTTTCTCTCAAACAATGAAACAAGATTTTATTTCTTATGTCAAATGAACTCTGAGTGACTCTAGTTTACTAGACATATCATTATTTCGTTCCTTAATTTGAAAAGATTAAAACAATTTACAAAGTGGATTGGTGAAGACTAAAATCTTAGTGAATTTTTAATGTTATTTTACAAAAACTATAAACTTAATTAAGTGGAAACTGTAGTGATGTCCATAATACCAGATTTTTAAAAAAACAGAAAATAAAGAAACAAATAAAAATAAAAGATACTCAAAAAGGTTTAATGAAAATTATACAAAGATCTAGCAACACTAACAATATCAGATTTAGAAGATAGTGCAAACAAGAAAAAAAGTCGGTAACATTTAATAGCCAAATATTTTTTAAACTTTGTAAAGGTGTCATCATTGATTAACTACTTTAATTGGAGTAATTATCTTTTGCAAATATTTCATGTTCTAAAAGTTTTAGTTTTCATTTATAATTGATGATTTTGGCACTGCGTTATTTTTTTAGTCTGAATATTCCTTAGTTCATTTCTCTGACAAAACTATATAAATCTGACAAACCCAGATAAAACTAAAATATCCCTAAACATTAATGTTTATTTTAATTACATAACTAAAAATACATTATATAGTTTATTGAGAATGTTATGTTTTTATAAAAAAACTTTATTATTTACTTTCTCTAAAGCAACTTTCTAACCTCTTCTAACCTCTTATATATATATATATATATATATATATATATATATATATATATATATATATATATATATATATATATATATATATATATATATATATATATATATATATATATATATATATATCTATATATATATATATATATATATATATATATATATATATATATATATATATATATATATATATATATATATATATATATAACCTCTTATATATATATATATATATATATATATATATATATATATATATATATATATATATATATATATATATATATATATATATATATATATATATATATATATATATATAACCTCTTATATATATATATATATATATATATATATATATATATATATATATATATATATATATATATATATATATATATATATATATATATATATATATATTATATATATACATATATTATATATATACATATATTATATATATACATATATTATATATATACATATATTATATATATACATATATTATATATATATATATATATATATATATATATATATATATATATATATATATATATATATATATATATATATATATATATATATATATATATATATATATATATATATATATATATATATATATAGGGGAGTGGGGGCATAACCGCATATGGAGGCACAACTGTTTTTTAACATTTTCTTATGAAAAATATTATTTAATATGGCAACAATCATACCTTGTGTTAGTAAAACAGTTACCCCTATGTCAATAAAAGTGCATTTTTCGTTTTTGAGATGTTGTGCATAATATTGCTTATTTTGATAAAAATATTATTTTTACATCATATTTTTCAGACCTTTTCTTTTGTGGATTAAGCAATATTTGATTTTAGTATTAAAGATAAATGTTGTGAATATTAGGTTATGTTTATATTAGGTTATGTTTATATATAAAATAATGAAAATTATTTTTGATATAAACATAACCTATATAAACAAATAAATTAAACTGTATTCTTTTTAAAAACTGCCCTCTGGTTAAAATATAAAGCTAAAAGTATAAATTGTTATCTTGTTATATTTATGTATATCTGGTGATGGTTTTCACAGTGAAAGCATGCAACAAAATCAGCAGATATACTGAGCTGTGACAATTGTAAAGAAAATGTACCACAGAAAGGGAATCCTCAACGATTTTTGTGAGGGTGCGGTTGTGCCTCACAATATTTTCTTTTTTTACATAATTGTTGCAACTCAAAGCTTATTAATGTGATTATTGAAATAAACTGTTAAAAAAACACATTTTGCTTTAATTTTCATATAACAATAATGCAAATGTTATTGGACAGGTATGCCCCCACTTCCCCTATATATGAAGATTACAGGGAAAAAAAGGCACATGTCACACATTTCCACTTTTGAGATAAATGAAATTTTGACTTTGAAAGTTGCTATGTTTGTTCTTTATGTACCGTACTTTGGGTACATATAGGTATATATCTATACACCCAAATGTATAGATGTATATACATAAAGATATATATGTATATATATATATATATATATATATATATATATATATATATATATATATATATTTTTTATTTTATTTTTTTTTTTTATTTTAATTCACCTCCTCAAGGCCGAGAAGGCCACTACAGACGAGGAGGCTACTTATTTGTGGCTATAACCCTCTCTCAACTCTATAACTCCGAAACACGAACCTTGACGAACAAAGCCGCTGCGCGGAGAAACGAGTTGAGCGCGGTACTACCAGGGACGTGGTGGGGATCGATATATATATATATATATATATATATATATATATATATATATACATATATATATATATATATAAAATATATTTTTAAAAAATAAATGCACATTATGTCAATACTTGATTAATATGTAAGAAAATAAAAAAACTTTTTCTGCTCTGATACATACAGATTACATTATAAATATTTTTGTTATGTAATCTTTAATATATTTTTATGAATGCTATTAGGTAACAACAAATCTTATTTTTAAATATGTTAATTACCTAATTAGGTGAAATGTTTGTCTATATCAGACTTTATTAGGTAAGCAAGTCACCTTCCCTGATGTTTTTTTGCAAAAGCTATTAGTATTTGTGCAAGTATTTTTGATATTTTGACAAAAGTTTTGATTAACAAGAGTATAGAGGAATTAAAATAATTTTGATGATTTTCAACAACTTTTACTTGAATTACTTATAAACAGTGATAAAAAAAACAGTACAGTGTCACACTGTCACTATCAAAAACTGTTATTAAAACCCAGTTAAAGGTGTTTTTAATACGTAATTAACCATATGCATTGTTGTAAATATCTAATCTAAAAATGCCTTGTTGTAAAACTTGTTAAAAATTGATGATGTCGATGATGATGAAAAATGAGTGCTTTTAGACTTTATTTTTAAATTTTTTTTAGGTGTTTCATAACTTACTTTTCAATAAGTAAATTTTTATCACTGTTTATAATAAGTAATTCAAGTTGAATAAATTTTAAATGTTAAACTTTTTTGGCAGTCCAAGCATATACTATATATTTTGTCTGCTTTTTTGGCAAATTATTTAACTCATAACATTGGTTCTTATAATTTTAATTTATTATAATTTATTTTAATTTATTCTTATAATGATTTTCCAGTTAGTAAAGAGAACTGACTATTACTCGTTTGAAAAAACTGATTGATTTATTACTTTCTATTATTTATATTATAATATTACGTCATAAACAAGTAGAGTTTATTTTATTTTTTAGCATTTATTTAAAAATATCAATTAAATATTAAACTATATTGTAAAAAATATTAAACATTCAATTTTACAGTTTTACCATGTTTAAATTATATCATACGATGTAAATTTCAGAAATTTTCACAGAATAACAAAATAAATAATTATATATATTTAACATTTTTTCAAGAAAAATTTGTATTTGGTGCAGGCTTTTTTTCGCCCAAATAAAATAATACCAAAGTAGGTTCATTTTTCAAAATATCCAAAAAACATTTGTTTAATACCAAAATAAATTTTACCATTGTTGAGATATCAAAATGATATAATCTAGGGAAAAAAGCGTTAGGCTTTTCTTCAAATTGAAGTAATCTTTCAACTATTGCATCAGTGTTAACCACTGTCCCATGCACAGAAACAATAGCAACACTGTTTTTGTTTTGACTATTACTCATATTTGTTTGATAATTAGCAACCAAATGAGAAGAAAGTCGTGAGCCACATTTTTCTACAAATAATGATTTCCCCATTCCACTTCTGATTGATTTAACCACAATTGATTTGTATCTAAAAGAGCATAAATGCAACAAGTATATTTTTAATTCAAAATGAAATATTTATTAAGCATTAACATTAAAACTTGAAAATTTACACTAAATTATTGAAAATAATTCCAGCCTTTTGATCTGAAAGTTTGTTTTTGAGACACTGAGCAAGTTTTGTGCAAATTTGATCTCTACTAAGATAACTTGCCATTTTTAGTTTAAAATGGTCAAGAGCTGTTACAAGGTATGAATTATGGTGGCTTTCATTGCTACAAAATACTACAAGTGGACTCATATTACCTAAAAATCAAAAATGTGTTACAGAAAAAAATAATGAAAGAATATAATGAAAGAAATACATAGATAAAAGAGAGAAAATAGCTATTTCCCAGACCTATATGAATCGTCTCTTGCAAGAACAAATAAACTTTTTCGCATGTTTCATATTTAAGATTTTCATTGATTAACAAACAATACAAGCCATTTTTGTTGCCTACAGCTCGCATTATTAACAGCTCAATCTAAAAGATAAAAAAGTTTTCAAAATAATTGTATACCAAGTATAATGAGGACTAAAAAAGCTCAATAAGTAAAAATAACTTTTTTTCTCCAACAAAATATCAGTTGAAGAGAAGATTTTGCAACAAAAGCTTGTGATAAAATAAAAAAAGTTTTTCACAAAGCAATAGAGTAGAACAAATTTTTGTGGCATTGGTTTAATGTCTTTATAATAACACTATCAAATAATTTTTTACGGATTTTAAATATTGTTTTCATAGATGCTAAATATTATTTATAGATAGTTTATAAAAAAAAAGGTTTTAAGAAAAATTCTGAATATATATATATATACATTTGAAGAAAATTGACTACTTAAGAAACTTTTTTTAAAAGAATAACCAGAATAAATGTTTTGCTTTATTATACTCTAACCTGTTGTACATATTTTTTTTGCTACTTGCAATGAATGAAAGATTTTTTTCAAACTTTTGAATTATTTAGCCTGCAAAACCATTTGATAATTCATCTAAAAAGTAATAAAGTAACAGCCGTTGACTTATTTACCTCAGATGAGCATTGACATCATCAGATGAACTGTTAAATGCAATTTGTTGTAACCTTTTCAAAGACAGCAGAAAGTATTTAGATAAAGTTTTTAGAAGTTTAACATATAACAACATTCGTGCTGCTAAGAAACAATGTCTTAAAGAAAACATAGTAAATAAGTACCAAAGCTTTATCATACAGTAAAATCAGTTAATAATACAGCAATATACCTAATACAGTAACAGTCATTTAAGATTCACTAAACTTAACATAACTCACAAAATTAAAACATGATGGACCACAAAGTTACAACAACATTATCTATAAAAACTACATTTCCTTAATGATGTTTTTAGCTGCAATTATAAAAAAGTGATGCTAATTTATTTTTGTAGGACTTTAAATGGTCTTTCAACTGACCACTCTTTAATTATAAGCATGGAATATCTTCTTAAAATTTGTTTTAAATTAAAAGTAAATAAGTGAGCCAATCACTATCTTAGTTAAAAAATTATTAAAAAGCTAAAGAGAGCTTTTGAATTTTTTGAAGAACTTTGTTATTATTGTTCATGTTCACTATTGAGGTGGAAAACATCACATATAGAAAGATCAAAATTGCCACATAAAATTAATCGCATAGAAGATAGATAAGTAGCGAATACAATTTAAATATGTCTCTCTGATAGCTTTGATAAGTATTTTAAATTTTATGTGTTTTTGAAAACTATTATGAAGCATTCAGTCTTTTATTTATCTAGTACCGACTACTTTTTATAACATACAGATTAAAATTTTATCTGATCATTTAATATCTATAATATAAAATTAGTGGAATTTTCTATTTATACCTTTTGTGGATTTAACTTTTAAAACCCATATAGGACGAAATAATAATCCCTATGTAGGTTATATATTTAGTTCCACTAATGTCTGTCCCTGCATGTTCTAAAAGCCTTTTATCTAGTTTTATTCCCTGCACTTCAACACTTCCGAACTCTTTCCATTCTTCATGCTTCCCTGACTCATACAACCTACAACTTTTCAAATCTTTTGTCAGCTGTTTCTTTGCTCTATAATTCTATTCTTTTTTTTTAATAACTCCTAACTTAATAGTGGTTGCTTGCAGTCTTGTTGGTGAATCTGAATTAAAAAATAATAATAGTAATAATAATAATAATAATAATAATAATAATAATAATAATAATAATAATAATAGTAATAATAATAATAATAATAATAATAATAATAATAATAATAATAATAATAATAATAATAATAATAATAATAGTAATAATAATAATAATAATAATAATAATAACAATAATAATAATAATAATAATAATAATAATAATAAGCTCTCAACTAGTCCAACAAATGAATATTAAAGTTTGTGAAGTATAAGAAATTTTGAGAAGTTTAATTTTGGAAGGAGGTTGCAGTTTGGTAAAAAATAATCTAAAAAGAATTTATTTTATGCAAAAAAAATTTTTTTTTTTTTTTTCTTTGCATTCACTTCCAACAAGGCTGCAAGCAACCACTATTAAGTTGGGAGTTACTAGGAAAAAAAAGAACAGAATAATAGAGCAAGGAAACGGTTGACAGAAGACTTGAAATGTTGAAGGTTGTATGAGTCAGGAAAACATGAAGATGGGAGAGAGTTCCAAAGGATTGAAGTGCGGGGAAAAAAACTAGATGAATAAAAGTTTTTAGAACATGCAGGGACAGATACAGTAAACGAATGAGACTTAGCTGAATGACGAGTAAAACGAGAATGAATTTTAGTTGATAGAACTAGAGATGATAACTCCTTTGAACAGTGACCATGATAGTATCTGTAGAAAAGAGAAAGAGATGCAACTTTACGACGATGGGAAAGAGGTTCAAGCTTAGCAGATATTCCAGGTCCAACAACATTTACAATGCGTTTTTGGACCTTGTCAAGAAGAGAAAGTGAATCGTTAGAAGAACCAGCCCAAATATGACAACAGTATTCCATACAGGGACGAATAAGAGATTTGTAGAGGTAGAGAATGGAATCAGAAGTAAGGAAATGGCGAGCACAATAAAGAGAAGCAACCTTAGAAGCTAATTTAGCAATCGATTGTATATATGGTTTCCATAAAAGGTCAGTAGTAAGCGATAATCCAAGAAGACGTAAAGAGGAGGACTCAGTAAGAGGATTGCCATTCATTAATATAGGAATGTTGACCATATTACGGTAGTTGTTTGCAGTAAGCAATTGGGTTTTTTTAGAGTTGAAATTCACAAGCCACTGTGAACCCCAATCTATTACTGAAATGAGATCAGATTCAAGATCAGCTGCTTGTTCTAGGCGATCGAAAAGAGAAGACTTTTTGTCAAGACAGAAGTATAAAGTTGAGTCATCAGCAAAAAGAGCTACTTTAGATGAAAGGTTGTCAGGAAGATCGTTGATGTAGATAAGAAACAAAACAGGGCCCAGGATGGAACCTTGGGGAACCCCAGAAGTTACTGGAAATAAAGAAGAGTGTTGGCCTTCAAGAATGACTTTAATAAACCGGTTAGAAAGAAATGATTTGATAATCTCAAAAACTTTCCCAGAAACACCATATGAAGCAAGCTTATGGAGAAGACCAGCATGCCAAACTTTGTCGAAAGCTTTAAATATGTCGAGAGCAATAGCCCTAGCCTCACCGCCTCCATCTAATGCACAATAAAATCTTTCAGTTACAGCAGTTAGCAAGTCGGACGTAGAGCCAGAGGATCGAAAACCGTATTGATTGTCTGACAGTAGTTTATTTGACTGAAGATGAGATGTGAGGAATTTGTTGATCAAAGACTCAAAGACCTTGCTAATAACAGAAAGAAGACTGATCGGACGATAATTGGAGGGGTCAGAATTTTCTCCAGAGTTTTTGAATATTGAAACTACAGATGCTATTTTCCAACAAGCAGGAAAACAAGACTCAGTCAAACACTTGTTAAATAGTTTAGAGAGAATTGAAGAAAGTTCTGGAGAACAATTCTGCAAGACTGTGACAGGAATGTTGTCTGGACCACAAGCTGTAGACGAGTTTAATTGAGATTTGATTTTAGCAACAGAAGCCAGAGTGATTTGAATGTCTAACTATGGGTCAACCTGTTTGACTGGAATGGAAGGAAGAGAATGTCCATAAGATTTAAGAGTGGAATTAGAAGAAAAGTTCTTTGCAAATAGTTCTGCCTTATCCTTGGGAGAGGTAACAAGATCAGTCCCATGAATGAGAGATGGAATGTTAGCTCTACCCTTGTTAAAAATGCTGTTGAAGATTTTCCAAAAGTCTTTAGAGCCTAACTTCTGCGATAAGATGCAAGATTTAGTGAACTGAGAATAATGGAGTGTAGCATCAGAAAGCACCTTTTTACATCGATTTCTTGCAATAATAAATAGCCATTTGTTCTGAAGAGAGTTGTTCTTTTGAAAAAGTTGAAAGAAATGATTACGATTGGATATAGCAGCCGCACAAGAAGGAGAAAACCATGGAGTAGAATGAGGCTTGACTTGAAACCGACGAGAAGGAATAAAAGCTTCCATTACAGCCTGAATCCAGGAGGTTACGTCGGAGGCGCATTTGTCAGCTGAGAGAGAAAAAACATCAGCCCAAGGACCATCACGAAGAAAATCACAAAAGGAATCCCAGTCAGCTTTAGAGTAGTAGTAGGTGGTGCGATGATAAGGTGAGCCCAAAAAAGAAGTACGAGAAGAAAGACTTATAGAGATCATTGCATGGTAAGAACCACCTAAGGGAGAAAAGGGAGAAACTGAACATAAGCTAGGGTCAGAGACAAGACATAAGTCAAGGAGTGAAGGTAAATGATTAGGGTTGTCAGGAAAACGAGTCACAAAGTTAACTATCTGAGTAAGAGATTGAGAAACGCAGAAGTTAAAGGCTTTAGTGCCAGCAGGATCAGTGGTGTTAGAGCCAAGCCATTCAGTGTGATGGGCATTAAAATCAACAACAACAACAATATTAGCAGAGGGGTAAAGAGAGAGGGCATGGTCAATTTGATCAGAGATAAAATCTAAGAGAGTGCAATCATGGGAAGAAGGAGAACGATAAAGAACAAAGTGAAAGGTGATAGAGTGAAGAGGTGCTAGGCGAAAGCACATAAAAGAATGGTCAAAGGATTCGAACCTGATTTCACGACAAATAGGGGAATTAATGCGCATGTATACCCCTAAACCTAGCATGTGACTATTGGAGTCTTTACGAATCAAAGGATAGTACCCATCAACACTGACATCTGAAGAAGGAATTGCAGAACTTAAATTTGTTTCAATGAGTGCAAGCAAGTCTGGTGAATTTTGCAGGAGGAAAGACTCAACTGATGGAAAGTTGCTTCGTAGACCGCGAATATTTGTAAAAAGATATATTAAAATATTTAGGTGGTGGGGATGGTTTTTTAGGTTTTAAATTTTTCGTTACTTTGGTCATGATTTGGATTTAATGAGAACTTGACTTATTCATAGATAGAGCATAGCCTCCTAATCAATGAGCTATGCAATTGTCTCAGCCCTGTTAATTAACCCTAAGCCGTGACATAGGGCCCCTTATGTGGCCTTGACAATGCACACCAAAAGCATTAACAGGGACACCATCCATGCGCAACATGGCACTGTTAATACTCTGATATTTTGCAGCTGTTGATGGAATCAGCCTCTCTGAGAGCTACCACAGAATTCGGGAAACCTTACTACCAACCGGCCTCAGAACCATTAAACTGAGTTTTAGAGCTGTACCCTCATATGGAGATAACAGGAAGAGTTGCATAGCCATTATCAAGGAGGCATAAGCAAAATTCTATAAGTAGAGTCAAGGAGGTCCAGCATTCATTATCCTAGGCAGGAAACAATGTAACACAGGTTACATCTACGCCAGCCTAATAAATGAAGAAGGGGTTCGAGGCTGGTTAGCAGAATTTTTCTGCTTACCCCTAAAGTCTTTGCCTAGGAGGCCTTCTACAAGACAGTAGCTGGATGCAGTTAACATCTGCCCAAGATGAGTGTTTTTATCAAGACACCATCTCTAGCCTTTACTCAACCAAGAGCCCCAAGGCAGGGGAATTTTTAGTCGGAGTTTATTTCTCCTAGCCTTTGCATGAGAAGAGCACACTCTGCAAGGCAGCAGGGCTTGTGGCAGCTGGTACTGGGTTACGTGATACCAGTAGCAAGATTGATCTCGATTATCCTGACCTGACCTGGAGTAGTTAAAAGGAGTTACTTCCCGCAACAGTACTTTGAGAAAACCAGGCATGATATTTTGGAAGTGCATTAGGAAAACACTGCACCTAACAAAATACAGGAGTCTAAGGTGAGTGTAGGTTTTGTAGTTGGAGTAAGTAGTTAGTTACTGAGCTCACGCTGCATTAGAGTATAAACAGAACACAAACAAACATAAATCAACTTACGGGTGAGTCAACACCGCGCCAGAGGTTCAGACAGAACACAAACATACATAAAAATCATAAAGTAACTTACGGGTGAGCGAACACCGCGCCAGAGGTTCAGACAGAACACAAACATACATAAAAAAACATAAAAAACATAAACATAAACATAAAGTAACTTACGGGTGAGCGAACACCGCGCCAGAGGTTCAGACAGAACACAGACATACATAAAGAACATAAAGTAACTTATGGGTGAGCGAACACCGCGCCAGAGGTTCAGACAGAACACAAACATACATTTAACGTAGATTACAGGTGAGCTAATACAGTAACTAAGGCACCTCCAACTATATGGGGAAAAAAAAAAAAAAATTACTATAGGCATGACTGATATAAGATAGTACTGATGACAGGAAGAACACTCCTTCCAGCCTTTGCTTAGATAGCAAATCCTGCAAGGCAGCAGAACATGGAACAGGTTGCACTGGGTTACATGTTACCAGTAGCAGAATGATCATGAAGACCATACTCCTGACCTGACACTAAATTACTTAAAAGTAAATACATGAAAGTATAAACCAAAAAGTATAAAATTTAATAGCAAAACATTAAAACAATCTGCATAAAATATGATAATAAATATTAATTTATTACAAAGTTTACTAAACCTTGTATTTTATCTTAGATGTTCGGTTGTAGAGACTTTTGGTTAGTTTTCAACAGTGTTATTAACTAAAGTAAGTCTAACGTTTAATCTCTAATTCATGGGTCTCATCTTTTTACTTTACCCCAGAGTAAAACAGTGCTATTTACAAAGAAATCTTACTCTAGTTTGACTCTCGAATATAACAGCCATATTCTTCCTGACATATACCTGAAAATATACCTGAAAGTAACACTGCAGCTTGAAAACATTTTGTTGTTACCTCTGACATATGGAAAAATCAAATTTATATGCAGGTAAAGCAAAATTTTGAGTATGTTGAGGAATACATTTTTAGGTTTAAACAGTGAATAACTAAAAACTATATACACAACTTTTATAAAACTGTTAATTGAATTTGTTGTATCTGTGTGATCTCCATGTCATAAAAATGAAATTATTCTTTTAGAAAATTTCAACATTGTGCTACAAGAATAATATTGCCACTAAAAAAACTTTGTTTTGAGAAAAGATTAGTTGGGTCTCACTACTTTAGGTGTTAGACGATTCTGGGTGACTTAATTCAAATGTTTAAGTTATTCAATGGAATTGAAAAAGTAAAGTCAATTTTAGAAATTTTGCCAAGAAGTTATCAAGGTCATCAAATGAAATATAACCACGAAATAACAAGGTTTTTGCCTTGGCCATATTTTTTAACAAACAGAGCAACTTTTTACTGGAACCGAATACCTACTGATGTTGTTAATTCTATTTCCGTAAACTCTTTTAAAGTTAAACTTGACATGATGATTTTAAATAATGTAACTATACTGAATAATGATACAGCTGTCCAAGTGTACTTTGTTAATGATACAGCTGTCCAAGTGTACTTTGTATACTCACAAAACTATAGGTCACAGCTCAAATATATTACTATTACTATTACTAAGAATAAAAACAGAAAATTCAAAACAGGTTTCAAAATGAAGTTGGTATTATAGCTTATGACTTTGGTGTTTAAAGAAAGTCTCACAAGCTTGGTAAATGGACTGCTGATATGCATTTATAGGTGCCACTAGCAACCAAATAAAAAATTGAATTCTCAGATAATACTTACATTAGGCCAATCTCTTGCTAACATCTTTTATATCAGCATTCCTAGTTAACACACCACATTGGGTCAACATTAAAACAATGCTGACCCAACACTTCCAATATTGTTTTAATGATGGCTTAGTGTAGTGTGCTAACTGAGTCTTAAACATTTTACTTCATATCAGCTTGATAAACAAAATAAATTATAATTAAATAATAATTTATTGAGACTTAGCATTGCATTTTTGGACATAGCCTAGAAGAGTTGACTGACATAATAATAAATGGAGATTAAAATTTCTATCATTTATTTGAATAGTTAAGTCATTCATTTTTGTTGTTGCAATACAATTCCAGAACTCTTAGTTATTATCAATATCATTTTGCTTGAAAATACTGCAAAATAAATTTTTTTTTCTTGAAGAAAAAAAAAAAGAAGCTATTTCCCTTAAAAACAATCTTAATTGCTTAGGGTTCTTAGCAACAATGATTTGGGCTCACTGTGCGTTGTGAAAAACACAAGGCTGTTTGAATTTTCTTAGTTTTTTACATTTTTTAGAAAGATTTAAATTAAATATTTCACTTGAGACTGATATAAACTATATGCAACTTTTTCCTATTTTAAATATTTACTATTATTATATAAACATTTTTCTGTTTGCTTTACTTTTTTACTAATTTCATTGTTTTTCATTTATTTTAATCTTGAATAAACTGGCAATAAGAACTTTTATATCTAATATAGTTGCTTGTGTCACCTCTTCAATTGAAACAGAATCATCACAAAGTAGAACTTCTTCTGAGGTTGGTAAAACTCCATCTTGATAAAGATAAATCTCAAGAACTGCATACATGATGTCATCTTCATAAAAAAAGTCAGAATTAAAAATTAATTAAACTAAAGATTAGTTAAATTAAATAAAGTTATTAAAATAACATTCCTTACCATGAGGCAACACTATTAAGCTTGGTTTATCTTTGTTTAGATATGGAGGAACAATCCTTTTAGAAAACTGAAAATTTGTTATGCCTGCAAAATAAAAATAAAATATTTTAAATCAGTGCTCAAAGCCATTAAAAAAACATAATAATTTAAAATAAATAAATATATGTAATAAATAAATTAATTAAAAAAAAATTAATCAATATAATCTAAAACATAATTCCTTAATAATCTTACAAACTTTTTGAAGAAACTTTTTTTCAAGTATAAAGTCAATCATAAAAAATTATAATAAAATATAATAAAATAATTTAAAAAATTTAGAAAATGGGAATAAAATCTTCAAAAAAAAAAAAAAATTTGGTGCAATGTAGCTATTGGATGTTATTTTTACCTGATGTAAATCATGTTTATGCTGAAAATATTATCTTTATATAGATCAAAATTTGACAAGAAATTCCAAAAGTAAAAAATTTTTTTTACTTTTATTTTTTGTTGTTATAGTTTTTAAAAAAAATATTCCTAAAATCAAATTTTGTAATTTATTAAACTTAATAAACCTATACTTTAAAATATTTTATATATAAAATCTAACCTAATAATATTAATAAAAAAAAAAAAAAAAATTTAATTTTTTAATAAAGTTTGAAACGAATATTTGAAACTAAATATTAACATTTAAATAAATTTAAATTTGTGTTCAGTAATGCTGAACTAAAAATATTAAAATTCAAAATACAAAATGTAAAATTTAAAACAAAAAAGAATTAAAAAATAATAAAAAAACCTTTATATTGGTTTAAAAATCTGCCAAGCTCATCAATTGTTAAATATGGCTTTTTTTCATCTTTGCTTTTTGAATTTGAGCTAAAATTTAAATGTTAAAATTGTTTTAATAATACTCTTTTTACATTAACAATCCTCCAGATATTCTCACATTTAAGGTGGCATTTTTCACTGATGATACTATCATTTATTTTTGTCTTGATAAGACTCTCTGATTGCTTGGAGGGGGCATTTGAGTTTGAAGAGAATCTCACTTCTGATGCAGCATGGTGCTAACAGAGGCTGGTGAACTTTAATTCAGATAAAACTAAATTTTTTTCAGCTAACCCTTATCCCAATTATCTAGATCTTCTTATATTTACAACTGGTAATGTACTCGATGAGTCATCTACCTTCATCTTTACTACAACTAATACTACTACTACTACTACTACTACTACTACTACTACTACTACTACTACTACTACTACTACTACTACTACTACTACTACTACTACTACTACTACTACTACTACTACTACTACTACTACTACTACTACTAAGTTCAGCAATAATGTATAAGATATGTTTTGAAATTAAAAAAATACATATAACAAGAAAAATTTTAAATACCTTCTATTTGACTTCAAATGCTGAAGCATAAATTTTGCTTTCTGCTCCAACTCATTAATTTCTTTACATTCAGAATCCTGTTTTTTACACCAAAGTGCAGCCTTTCCTTTATGATATGGAAAAACTTTTATAATAGATGCCCATGCAACATTTTCGCTTATATCATATACTTTCTGAAGTGTGTTGACAAATTTTAAAATTTCATTGGCTGTGTATTTATCAAAATTTGATTGAATACTGATTGCTTTACATTGTTGAGATTCATCATCAATAGTTAAATTGCAAGACAATTGAAAAGCATATTTAATATTTCTTAAAGTGATATCATTAGCAAAGAAGTAAAGAATAGTAAAAAACTGAGAAGAGAGCTTATCAACATTTTTAAAATCCTCGGTCAGCAGAAATAATTGTTTTTGCATAAAGAGACATTGTTTAACTGAAAAAAAGTTTATGATAGGATTTAAATAACGGAATTTTGTTAACTTTTCTTTCCAGTCAGTAAATCGCTTCTCTAATTTCTCAGATTCTAACATCAAATCATTGATGGAAACTTCCCGTTGACATTCAATATCACAATAAAATGTCTTTTCCCATTGTATAAATTTAATATCACCAGCTTCACAAAGAGACATATAAGCATACCCCAATCTTGTTACAACTTCAACAAC